CTTGCTGTTTGGTAGCTTGGCTGCACTCTCTGAATGAATCATCTCGTTTAGGCTGGTTTATCTGTCATCGATCCAGAGTTGTATTACTGGTGCGGTAACTGCATGCATCTGACGTGGTTCTGTAGCACTGTTTTACTGGACCACTGAAGCAGCACATCGTAAGAACGACTGGAATTACTTTATGAGAGATCAAAACAAGTAACAGCGAAGCAGGGGATTCATCTCAGTGCAAATTCGCACTGACATTTGCTCGCTTCCTGGACAAAAACCCGAGGTAAAGCGTGCAGGCGAGGCGTCACCTATCATTAACCAAAGTCGACGACGTCCGAAAGCGTCAGTTATTCACGAACACAGTGCTTGCTTACCACGCGTTCAACTGCGATACCGGTATGGCTCCAAACAGTAGCCACTACAACCTCACTTCCTCGCTTCTTCCACTTCCTCACGTCGAATCAGCTGTTTACAGTAAAAACGTAGCGGTATCTATCCGCTGCGCCGAGTTCGCATCGCTGACCCATGTTTGGTCTTCAAATTCGTATATTTTTGATCGTATTGGCCAGTCCACCTAGCAATCACCGTCCTCTACGCAGACCTGTTTTATGGCATTTCGGCCTTTTTGCCAGCAGTTCAAAAATCATGGAATTAGTGTAAGATCCCTCATAAGTGCAGAGATTTCACTGCAGCTGGAGTGTGATATATCGTGGCTGCTGTACGCATCCTTCATTCAGTGGTGTGCGGTCAGGATACCGATCGCCCTGGAAGAGGGTGCGATCGGAGAAGTTCCTAATTTTTCGCGTCCTAAATCTTAGAAACAATTTAAGGAAAGTCACTGAGCAAAATTGGATGATGATTTTACATTTCCAGCACAAACATGACATGTTCATAAGCCTTTGTTTTTCTAGCCTTCTTTGTCCACATGTTTAACTATAAAGACACATGCAAACATATATGCGTATACACATAGATGCATAACTTATGTACATAGAAGCATGGAGTGTAGAACAACGCATGCAATTTTAATTCATATCAGACGCTCGTTAAATTCATCATCAGTGAACATTTCATTGACAACAGTGCCTTGTTCCAACTTCCTTCCTGTTCCGGCGGTTGGTTTGCTGTTTGCAGTAACGTTGCCCATTAAATTTTTGGCATGCAAAGTCTTATGTTCCGAAAAACCTGCTTTTCCAATCCCGTATGTGTAATCCTTGTAATTTGTTGCATTCTCGGGTGTGGTAAATTCAGTATTATCTGTATGTTCATCGTCAATTGATGATGACGAACTTGAAATATCACTAGTATACATTCTGCTTGCCTTGAACTCACCAACATTTTGATTCTGCTCTCCGAAAGTGTTACCGGGCTTCGTTGCAGTAACATTGTTGGTTTCTTCAGTTTTTGCCTTGCAGTGCTCGATGTCTTCAGTAAATGTACGTATGGTCGAAGCGTTTTGAGCATCATCGGTCTGCCGTCCGTGTGTTGACAATTTTGGCTGAGCAAAGCCGACTTCAGTTTCAGTGAATTTCCTGTAACTGTCATCTTCAATCTCAGACTCGTCAGCTCCATCATCCAGGGAGGCGCATTCATTCGGCATATTTTTTAGCCGTGTGATTTGCCCAATTTTTTCTTCCGAAGGTTTCGCTTTTACGCTTTGTTTGGGAAAATCTCTTGAATTTGAAGCTAAAGTGTCGTTACTTAACTCATCTGTGTCATTACGTTCTGGGGGGCTGCTGGAAATGGCGTGAGCAGTGTATGGTTCTTCTTGGATATCACTCTCTGGATTACTAAAATGTACATCTGCTGTGACTGTTTTTGACATTTCTAGTGGTGCATGAGGAATAGTATACGCAGTACTCATTTTAAATTTCGATTGTGGCTCAGATCCCGTCAATCCATTGAATTCGGGTAGTAGTTGAAATGCGCTCTTCGCTGTTTGATCACCTCCGGAAGACTCTTCATGGACATCTTCTAATGCAACACTTTCCATGCTTCTAGCCGAAACGTTTCCTTCAAGCGACTCCGTCGTTGACGAAACAGGGTTATTTTTCGCTATATTTTGTGATGCAACTTTCATTGATTCTACGGGCACATCTTTCAGCATCTCTTCCAGCGTTATCTGTAATACGGCAACGATTTTTTTTACCACTGAAATTCACTGTGGAATAAATGAAGAGGATTATTTTTATTTGCTCAGGATATGAAGTTGAAAGTGTGTCTTTTTATTGCGAACTTGGACCGTAAAGCAGATTTATGATATATCTCAGGAGTTACGGTGACAGCACCAACGTCGAGACTTCATTCATCACGAATTTTCTCACTTTTTATGCGTTTTTTGCAGCTATGTAAAGCAGAAAACGCATATTGACAAGGGTTTGCCTCCGTGTGTGTGTGTGTGCGTGTGTGTGTATGTGCGTGTGTGTGTGTGCGCGCGCGTCTGTCACGGTTTTTCATTTCAAGACCTACAAAAGCTACAGGGCTGAAATTTTGGGAACTTAATCTACATACAAATACGGGCTCGAATCCCCAAAATGGGCGTCATTACCTACGTGGTACCCACATAAGAGCCTGCCAAAGTTTTTTACGGGTAAGCTGCTAATTCGGGAACCAGAAGTGCCTGGGGACTGAAATTTTAAGGGGATGTTCCCTGTCTAAGTAGGTATTAATGAGCTCAAATCCAGTCCCTGGGTAAGCCTGGTAGTCGCGTACGGGCGCGTGAAAGTTTTTTTCGGGCAAGTTGATAACTCGGAAATTTGAAAAGCTAAAGAACTGCAATTTCATGAGGATATTTCCCGTCCACATAAGTCTCGTTGAGCTCAAACCCAGACTCCGGGTACGCGTGGTACCCAAATACGGGCCCGCCAAAGTTTTTTTTCGGGCAAGGTGACAACTCGGGAGTCAGAAAAGCTAGGAAGCTGAGATTTTACGGGGACGTTCATTGTCCACGTAAGTCTTAATGAGCTTCAAACTCAGCCCTCGTGTGTGGATGGTACCCACGCACGTGCTCACCAAAGTTTCTCTTGTGTAAGTTGCTAACTCGAGAACCTGAAAAGCTAGAAGACTGTAATTTTATGAGGATGTTCCCCGTCCACGTAAGCCTCGACGGCTCAAACTCAGACATCGGGTATGCGTGGTACCTACGTACGGGCCCGTGAAATTTTTTCCAGTAAGTTGCTAGCTCAAGAGCCAGAAAAACTAGAAAGCTGATATTTTAAGGGGGTATTTCCTGATAGATCTGACGGCCAGTCTTAATTTGTTTAGCTAGAAGCATTTGCCGAAAAAACCGGTGCCGGTAGCAACACAAACTACGGAAAACTATGCAAAAAACGCATCTTCGCACGGGCAGTGCGTGCGTTGGCTAATTATTTTTAAATTGAAATGCACACGCAAATAACTCGAATGATGGCAGTCGGTGGCAGCAGCCCTCTGACATAATGACCAACAGTTTTTACCAGGCTGCTCAAGGAGCATACGGAAAGCAATGTGATTGCGTAATAAGTAGGGCGCATCAATTATCCATTTGTAGACGAACTGGTTTACTCAATGCAGGTTTAAATCAAAAGATTAGACGCCATAAGATCGAAACTTAATTGAACCTTAGGGATCATCACGACTAGAGTTTGTGATGTACTCTTAACTGTAAAGTATCCATACACATGATATGGATGTGCATTAAAGCTGAATTTGATCTTTAGCCCACAAAAGGCGCAGAACATCCCTGTGAAATTTTAGTTTCCTATCTTGTCCTGTTTCCGAAGTCATCATCTCACCAAAAAATTTATGCATTTCTTTTTAAGCGTCCGTACTTGAGACCTAAGTGTGCGCGAATAATAATATTAGAACGGGAGGGTCGCATACGCAAGGGGGAAATGCTCCAAAAGTTTCAGCTCACTAGTTTCTCTGTTTGCTCAGTTGAAGGCGGGTGGTAGAATGCAAACACATCGACATACACCATCCCCTGTCGACATGCATTTTTATGCGTTTTTGCTGTGCAGCGCTATAGCGCTGCTACAGCCAGCAAAAA